AAGGAACTTTTTCCACTGACAGTTGCTGTGATTTTCAAGTAGGCTACATATCAGTTTTTAAGTTTTTCACTATTGAAGTTGCACATTCCTGACGTTAGAACCCACATTTCAGACCATAAAGGCGTGCTCTAACATCCTGAGCTGCTCCTTGTGAAGTTTAAGCTTTTTGCTCTGATTGTTGGCTTTTAAAAGTAACCCCAGGTCAAACATTTTTAAAAATATCTTTTGCCTTCTAGTTTTGATTTACAGTTTTTGAACTCAAAGTACCTGATACGCTAAACAGCCTCTTAACATCCCGAGCCATCTGATTGGAGTTTTGGAGCATTTTGAGCCACTTCCTCTGAGGGAAATCCCTCCCCACCACCAAACTAAATTTGATATTTGCAGTCTTTGACATAGATCCCACACAGTCTGTTGTACGATCAGTGGTAGTGCCAGACATTTTTGCTATAGGGGTGGCCTGACTGGAGCCACTTGTCACTCAGGGGCAGCAAAGAAAATGACTTTATTTTCCTTACACGGCAATTTGCTGGGGATCCAACTGCTTTTTTTCTTTTGGTCATTCTCTCTCTTATGTATACAGGAAGTGACTATCATGTAGAATTACATCATTTGAGCAGTGCACCTGAAATAAACATTCTGCTTATGTACTATTTTTCAGATACTGTTTAGTACCGCCTATGTGAAGCAGCGTGTAATGGTTTGTGGGATTGTTTGGGGGCAAACAAAAGAAAACTAAACGACGGTACAGGTTCTCAAACTTTAAAGTTTGAACTGTTGTGCATTTTAAAATGTTTCCAGGGTGGCACGCATTTTTAGGTTTCAAAATGGYGGCTGACTGGTGTTTGTGGGCGTTATTCTCCTTTTCTCTTACAATATTATATAATCTTTCTTTTTTGGCGTTAGTGACCAAATTGTTATACAATAAAAAAAGCCCCTGCAGGTGTTTTTGTCTAACCAAAATAAAGCTGTCAGCACTTCCCAGCAGAAAAAAAACTCTACTCAACTTCTTCAGAAGCTTACATTAAAAAAAAACAGAGCATCTTGTAAGTTTTGTGTGAGATGAAACAAAAATCCAGACACAGAGAGTGAGGGAGAATCAATAAATACTAACACAGATCTCTGAAAGTCAAATATAATTTGCCATGTAGATTTCCCTCCTCCATCCTTATGTATTCATTTTGCATCCCAGTTTCCCCCGTGTGCAGCAGTTGTGAGTGTGTAAACGAATAAGTGGATTGTGTGTTCCCTAAAATTAGATAAAACTTTGATGAGCTTCTCAACACAGGCATGCCCGTGGCAATACAGTGTGCCTGTGCTGTCCCTGCGTGCGCCTTCGCTGACATTTTCAGCTCATTACTCAAACACACAAGCCTTTGAAAAGAACTAAAGGCCTATTTCTTCAGAATAAACWGCAAAAAGTGTGCTCCCTGATAAAAACACATCAGTGCGGCTTGAAAAAGTTCACAATTACTTGTCTTTTTCCGCTTCTTTCCGACATGCTGTCAGCGTGCCTATATAACACTTTTTAATACACCGCAAAAATGAGGCAACTTTGCAAAATCAGATGCTGTTAAAATGAGGCTAAATGAATGCACAAAAAGCCTGTTTACCCCTCTAATGTCGCTCACCAATTTTCCACACATACACAATTACCTGAAGTCTGCAGGGAAACACGATACACTCACAAAGAGTAGGAAAAGCTGCCAGAAATCTGCCTCCAATTAAATCCTGCCTACACCTTCCAAGTCATTAAGAAGGGAGAAGGTAATGTGTTGTGATGTAGCAAAGAAAGAAAAGAAAATCTTCAGCCAATTAAGAAAGTGACGCCCGACTTATTCTACAGCGTTAAATCATTACATCACACACCTGTGCCTCTCAGACTGTGATGTATGGTTTTGATGAAGTGGACCAGCATGTTGAAATTGGATTTAACAGGAGCAAGATTGYACACCCGAAGGGGTCCCTGCCAGCATGACTCAGCATGTTAAAACTCAACTTTCTTTCTGACAAACTTTGTCAWCTTGTACACCAATGTAGCGCACAAAATGTAGCATTGTTACCGTGGACAATGAAAAAAGTTACATTTTACTAACATGGTGGATTTTGTGTTTTTAAAGTATCAGCCCTTAGGGGGAATAAAATGGTCCTGTTTCTTTCGCAAATAAAATAATAACTAATAACTTTAACTGAGTTAAAGGGATAGTTCAACCATCTTGTAGTGGTGTTCTGTGGAAAGTGAATGATATATCTTATCTTTKGTAGATGGTTATTTGAATGACGTCAGTTTGGAAAATTAGGCATTGCAAGTCTTAATGCTGAATTTTAATTTGTTGCCTAAGTTGATTTATTTATTTATTTTTTTTGCATAGTTGTTTTCATTACAATTTAAATATGACCGCCATTGCTCTACAGTATTGATCCAATCAGGCAAGTGTCAATACGATCCAACTCCTTGGTATATCACAATTATTGGCATAAAGCATGTTGGTAAAAATTCTCATTCATCCAGTACATGACAAATCAAGAAACTTAAAACAAACTCCTGTTTTGTAGCTGAAGACATTTAGAAATCTGAACTTTTAACTGCATGGTGTTGGACTAATGATGTATCAGCTATTCTGAGCAAGACCAAGACCAAAAATCAGTGGCTGTCACCTTAAATGGAAAGTCTTTTAAAATCATGTTTAAAAAGTTATCGTTAGTTTGTACCTTATCATCCATGACATCAGTCTTATCACAAAGAGTAACAAGAAAGGTGCAATGTACAGTATTTAGTCAGGCTAGGCTACTTCAATTCAAAATACTTTATTGATCCTAAAGGGACATTGAAGTGATGGCGAGTMAAATGAGTGAATTATTTGGTTATTTTTTTCCATTTCTTTCTCAAAGTCAACATATTGGTGTAAATGAATGCTATATATAGCAAGCACAACAATGCAGACATAGCCAAGCATAAATACAAAATTGGGTTATAAGCTTTGTTTACTTTTTTGTTGACACTGCAAGACTGTTTTTTTTAAATGAACTCTGTATACATGGTATCTGTATAAAACTGGTACCCTAAGTTATCTTATAGGGTGCCAGTTACACACAGATACTATATGACAATTATCTGACATATATCTAACTTGCAGTTCATTTCAAGTCAAATAAATAAATGAAGTATACTAAAAATAAAGTATTACTAAGAAAAACAACAAAATTTCAAATATTTACTTAGTATAATTGACTATTGTAATACAGAATGTAGGAAATATTTGTCAAGGATATCGTGATTGTAGCCATAAAAATGTAACTGCCATCTAAAAGTATGAAAACTTTGATTTCCTGTTTACCTACATAGAAAATAATTTCCTCAGAAGTCTCCAAAACTATCCAAACTTTGTTTTTTGGCACAAAATAAAACTGGTAATTTACAGCACATGGGCCTTCATAAATGCCTATTTGGCTGAAAAAATCTTTTATCTTGAGGAATACAAAAAGAAAAAGACAACTGAGCCACAAACCAGGTAGTTCATCACTAATCATCACTGCTTGTCACCAAATTTCACGAGCAATTATCATTAAGATAATCACCACAACCCTTCACAGGTACAAACTATATAAACATGGAGGTAGCGAGCATAAACAACCTCCAGCTTGGAGCAATAAATCATCACCAGCCCACCTGCTCCATCTGAAGCTGGAATTTAACAAACTTATGTAACACAATCCCCATCCAGCTGTCCACAGCTCATCTTTCTTATTTATGGACTGCAGCAAAGTCTGTAGCCAGCGTGAACAGTGAGACATCAAAAGATCGAAGCAGCTGGATGGTAACTAAACTAAACTAAATATCACTCAAAAAACAATTAAGTCTATTTGTCAAGCATTACTACCTACATCGATAACGTATTGATTAAACATGCTTTTAGTAAGAAAGACAAGTATCTATTTATATTTAGGAGGGTTAAAAACGAAGAAGAAGAAATAAAAATCAGCTAACATGCTAATTGTTTCTTAAATATGCACAAGTTCCCTTAGGACGTATRGCTGTGTTTAGATTCAGCCTCCCACTTTTAGACTTATAAGTAAATAATAACAACTTAGTGTTATTATAGTTCCACACAGAGTCTTCAGCACCCATGACAAGGCACCACTTTGTTCCATCATTACACCGTCTCCATCTTTCATCAGTTTTACAGTTACACATCTGCAATTTCAGAATTAAAAACAACCCAATTTGAAAACCAGCACTGGGTCAAATTTGGACACATCCAATTCAGTATAGTTTTAACTAAGTAGGTTTGGGTTTTCAATGGGATCCTGCATACTTGGTTTAGTACCAAAAAACGGTGTAAAATTGTGAACTTGTTAAATTAGAGCAACCAAACTAAACAACCCAAAATTTGCTTTATTTTAAAACGCAACTTATGTCGGAGCTTGCTAGGTGGTGCTAGCTGCTATTAGTGGCAGTTAACTACTATTATTTTAGTAAATCAAACTCAATGTTTAGGGCAAACTAAAGTTACTGATAAATACAACCAGGCTAAAAACAATTGTTTTCCAAATTATGTTTTACAGCCATATCTTTTCTTATTACAGCGTATCAGAAAAGTTTGATTTAGTCAACTCCTGCCTTTTAAAGCTGGACTGTGAAAGAATAACACAACTYAAGTCTAATCCAGTCAAACCGTGGTTGAATTAGGCATTAGTTTACTTATTTATTGGGGGGAGTTGGGGATTAAAATGTTTAATCTTGGTCAACATTTGATCCAATGTTTAAAAACGATGCAACCTACGACCCAACAGCTCTCAGCAACTGAGTTATCAAAAAGTTATGTCATCTCCATTAAGCTGAAACACTTTGTGAATCTAATTCTACTGTAGACCAAAAGTCCCTCTAATGTCATTAATATAACCAATATCCCATTTTTAGACACCAGAAAAAAAGGAGTTTACCACTGAAGTTTAAAGTCAGTTAAGCAGGGTTAATTGTAAACATCAGCCACCCGTACCTGACTCCATGAACTCTTGGTTGAGGTTGTTCCAGGCAGCTTTGCTCTTCTCCAAGTTCTCCTCCATGACTTTGATGTCAGCAAAGGGACAGTTGCATTCTGGGAATCTGGGTGAGCAGCGGCACCAGCAGTCGTTGTTGCGACAGAGTAGTTCACCCTCGGAGTTACACGCCACATAGCTGAGGGCCGCCTCCACAAAACGGCCACGCAGGAACTCTGGTAGGACATCCTGCAAACCTGAAATAAAAAAAAAGAACAGTTATGTTGTGAAAGTCGGGACATTTTTGACAGAGTTAAAAGCCTTTTTAACATTTTAAATACTGAATCAAACCAATGGTATAACTGGGAACTTTACATTATTTAAAGGGAGAAAAACATATTCACTGCTTTCATCATTTAAATTATATTAAAATTGTGGTGTCCTAATGCCAAGTTCTATGACTGCATGGCCCCAGTGAGTCAGATCATAAACTGGTGTGTTTGAGTATCGACAGCTCTTAGAAACAGCTTTCAAATGATTTGCTTTGTGGGCCTCACACTGCTTTCCTGAAACCATTTGTTAGTCCATACCTGCCGCTCTCTGCCCGTCTGCTTGTCTAATACTGATCAATTAGTATCAAAAGCTGCCTCTCGCTTTGCTTCACATGCTCATTTTGGATGATTTTCAAGAGCCAAGTCAATCCCACTGTACCCCACTATGAATATTCATCTCTCTTCTTTGGTATTTACTCTTTCAGTGGCTTGGAAAGAGATGTAATTAGTCACATTTTTCACTGCTCCTCACTTTGGCAGGTATTTTGAGATCTTTTTAAAAAAAGACTTTTCTGTGTGCTAGTCAGTGTTCGTGTGTGTGTGGGYGTTGGAGTAGGTGTGTGGACCCGCCAGTTCCAAAAGCAACTGCTGGCAGTGCTGGAACTGCCAGGAGTTGCTTCAGTTTGAGGTAGGTAATTATGAAAAAAAAAGAAAAAAAAAAAACTCTTGCCTCCAAAAGTTTTGATGTCATTTATATACAGCATGGAGACATGTTGGTTTATTTGTTTAATGGGTCAACCCAGAATGTTGATACTGAAGATATGCTCTGTGGTGGAACTAATACTTTTAGGTTTAAGCCCCAAAGTTAAATGTGGTACTATGGGATTATTTACAATATTGATTCTTGTTTGAAACTGTAAAAAGCAAAGAAGAAAAAAAATATTATGAGACAAAAAACACGACACAAACAGAAGCAGAATTCTTAAGGACAAGATGTTGTCCACAGGTATGAAAAGCAGGCTACCATGTAACAGCCTTTGTGTGTGTATGCATTTCTGTTTACCATTCTGTATACACATCTACCTTGTCAAGGCCAGTAGTCCTTTTGGGGACCAAAGACAAGCCTTAAAATGGTTAAACTTCATTGTTGGGTTGGGTGTTAGGTTTAGGACTAAGGTGTAAATTGAGTTTAGGTTAGGTTAGGATTATGTATGTACTGGAGTGGTTCAGTTTAGGGTAAAGCATCAAGGTTAAGTTATGGAAATGATTGAAAATGAATGGAAGTTAACGAATGGGCCTAATAAGTATAGAACTAAAAACTTGCGCGTGTGCTCATGAATACTTGTTTGTCTGTCTGTCAGCAAAACAGTGGATGGATTTTATTGAAAAGTGGCTTGGCAGCACAGTTGTTACAGATTTATCTCACAGCCTATGACCTTTTTGTGTAGAATTTGCATGCTCTCCATGTGCGCATGCAAGTTTTCTCTGGGTACTCCAGTTTCCCCCCACAAAGCAAAACCAAGCATGTTAAGGTCTTTGGTATCTCTAAATTACCTCTTGGCATGAATGAGTGAGTGCATAAATGGTTGTATTGTTTGTCTCGATGTATCCCTGTGATGGAATTGCGACCTGTCCAAGGTGTACCGCGCCTCTAATTCATACTGCTGGAGAAAAGTACAAGCTTCATGCAAACTGGAGAGGAAAAAGCAGGTAAAAGAAAATGGATTAATGGATATTAATGGAGTATGGGGTACCGGGCCATTTGATACGGGCTGTCAGGTCCTTGTACAACTGGTGTCAGAGTCTGGTCCGCATTGCCGGCAGTAAGTCGGGCTCGTTTCCGGTGAGAGTTGGACTCCRCCAAGGCTGCCCTTTGTCACCGATTCTGTTCATTACTTTCATGGACAGAATTTCTAGGCGCAGTCGAGGTGTTGAGGGGATCCATTTTGATGGCCTTAGGATCACATCTCTGCTTTTTGCGGATGATGTGGTCCTGTTGGCTTCATCGGAACGAGATCTGTAGCTCTCGCTGGAGCGGTTCGCGGCCGAGTGCGAAGCGGCCGGGATGAGGCTCAGTGCCTCCAAATCCGAGGCCATGGTCTTGAGCCGGAAAAGGGCAGAGTGCYTTCTCCGGGTCAGGGGGGTCGCCCTGTCTCAAGTGGAGGAGTTTAAGTATCTGGGGATCTTGTTCACGAATGGGGGAGGAACGGAGCGGGAGATCGACAGGCGGATTGGCGCAGCGTCTGCTGTAAAGCGGGCGCTGTACCGGTCCGTCGTGGTGAAGAGAGAGCTGAGTCAGAAAGCGAAGCTCTCGATTTACCGGTCTATCTACATTCCTACCCTCATCTATGGTCATGAGCTTTGGGTCATGACTGAAAGAACGAGGTCCCGGATACAAGCGGCCGAAATGGGTTTCCTCCGCAGGGTGGCTGGGCTCTCCCTTGGAGATAGGGTGAGAAGCTCGGTCATCCGGGAGGGACTCAGAGTAGAGCCGATGCTCCTCCACGGCAAGAGGAGCCAGTTGAGGTGGCTCAGGCATCTGGTAAGGATGCCACCTGGACGCCTCCCTGGTGAGGTATTCCGGGCACGTCCCACCGGGAGGAGGCCCCGAGGAAGACCCAGGACACGCTGGAGGGACTATGTCTCTCGGCTGGCCTGGGAACGCCTTGGAGTTCCCCCGGAGGAGCTGGAAGAAGTGGGTGGGGAGAGGGAGGTCTGGGCCTCCCTTCTGAAGCTGCTGCCCCCGCGACCCGACCCCGGATAGGCGGAAGAAAATGGATGGATGGATGGATGGATGGATGAATATTAAACAAAAAAATAATTAATGGCTGCTACAATTGATTAACTATACGTTGGCTTCAAAACTTAATCAACATTAGTGAGTTTTAAAAAAGCTTATAACCCAGTTAATTTTACAGAACAAAATAAAACTTGGTGTGGTTGTAGCTGACAGGTTCCACCAACACATACTCAAAGTACTAACAAATTATGCAACATCCTTCTTCAAATGTTTGGCATGCAAGAGGAATGAGGAACATCATCATGCTAGTACAAAAGTATGACACTAAAACAAACTTTCAAGCATCTGTTTACAAAGTGCACTGAGTAAGTGTGCTGCTTAAGCATCATTTGGCTGCACAATTATTTTGTGCAGAATCAGTTCTKTTACTCAAAAAAACATGGATGATTTGTACACAGAATGTAATCAAAGTGTCGAGTGAGAATGAGGACAAATTGTTCAGCTTGACTGTTAGGTAGGCACTTGTTGGTGAGTCATCCTCCTCTCACCTTGCTGCTTTTCACCTTTGACACACATGCTGTTGCAGCACCGTGTTAGTAGTCAGCTGAATGCAGGCCATGCTCATAATGGGGCGCACATATACTGATCCAAACTAAATAACACTTACTTTTAATAATCATATAAAATGTTWGGGTAGTATAGTGTTCAAATAATTTTTTACATAATTTAAAGCCACAGCACAATTGAGCATTTTCCAAATCATTTTGAAAAGGGAGCAATATGGCTCACAGTTTTGGTTGCAATGTTGTATGAAGGTGCAGGTTATATGCTGTTAGACTGCAGGCTTGGGCAGTGGTTCATCTATTTAAAAAGAGTAGCCAGAGGATGTACTGAACAGTACTGGGTAGGACAATTCAGCTTATAGCTGAATTTTGTTGAAAACTTTGGTTTTTAAGCAATAGCATGAAGACTTTGGATTGTACAGCTGCTTTTCACAGATTTGGCCCCACTGAGTGAGCACCTCCAACACAGGAACAGTTTTTGTTATTAAATAGTATGAATATTAGTGCTTAAATCTGAAGCTATGGCCCTCTAAGCCAATGCATTGTCACCTCTGCATTGTAAACTAGCTGCAATGAAATTTAATTATTCTCAGATATTCATTCAACCTTCATTATCTTTACCCACTTCTTCCTTTCGGGGTCAAGGGRGTCACTGGTGCCCATATCCAGCAGTCACTGTGCGGGGGGCAGGGTACACCCTGGACAGGTTGCAAGTYCATCACAGGACCACAAAAGGCAATGCTGTCGATTTACCAGTTCATCTATGCTCTAATTCTCACAACCAGTAAGTAGTAAACAAAAGAGTGAGACTGCAAAAACAAAGCTGGATGAAACTTGAAACTAGAAAGAGCTCATTTGGTTGGTTTCCACATCTGATAAGGACACCACCCAGACMGCTTCCTAGGGATGTTTTTTTGACATGTTCCACTGGGTGGAAACCACAGTGTAGATCAAGGACTGGCTGAAGTGTTATATCTCACAGCTGGGCTGTGAATGCCTCCAGATGAGCCGGAGGAGGGAGCCGCGGAGAGGCAGGTCTGGGAATTTTTGCCAAAGCTGTTGTCCTTGCAACCTAGTCTCATATAAGCATCAGAGGGAGGATGGGTGAATGAATGGATGGATGGATGGATGAACAAATGAACGAATGAATGAATGGACTTACAGTATAATGGTCAAAATGAGCCAAAATGACTGCACTGTCTGATACATCCAAGCCCTATAAATCATTTTAAATAGTATATTTTAATATTGGAATTTAACCAGAAACTTAATTTGTTTATTTTAGCCAGTCAGATAATCAAGAAAGAAAAAAAAAATAGTGCACACAACTCAAATTCTCTTATAAAAAAAGGGAAGAGAGTAAATGGGTGCCTGGTTCTGAAGGATCAAAAAAAAATGGGATAACCGGCACTCCAAAAAATGCTATTGTTCTGCTACATGCCATCATCAACTTGTTTCTTGATGACAAGTTGACGACGGCATGTAGCCAAAACGCGTCCTGTTTTCTGCCCTTATTAAAACAATAGTATATTTCTGGAGTGCTGGTTATCCCATTTTTAGATACTAATGAAAGCACATCAGGTAGTTTAATAGATTTATACCTAAAACAGCTCCTGTTTAAAGAACTATGGTGTGACATACAAAATTCACCCACCTAATGACACTAATAACAAATTACAACT